AACAGCCACATGTGGGGTGGGGGGTGGGGGGAATACATGACAGCATCCTTGGACTGCTCCAAGTTACCAAATGACACGCTCAAACCTGCACAAATACACTGCTGCTGGCACCATGCACAAGCAAAACACAGTCAGTGATGCCATGCATGGACCTCTACCCAGGAAGAGAAGAAAGAAAAACAAAAAGGAGGAAGGCAGGGTTACAGGTTTGATACTCCAACCCCTTAATGACAACCTGAGGAGTGGCCGTGGGACAGAGCTGGACACCTCACCCACGACCAAGAAATGGGGAAAACAAAACAAGTAATCCAAATGGATCAGTTCAGCTGAACGCTACAACAGTTATTCTCCCATGACTTCCTGTACTGAAAAAAGGAGCGTGAGCTAAGAGGAGGAAACTGGTAAGAAACAGTGGAGCTGTGCATGAAGCACGACTGACTGGATCTGTCTCTGTGGCGTCCTTCCTCTGGAGACGGGAGTGGGGTTAAGGCTGTGTGTGTGAACATGCGATACTGAACGTGGCTTCACAGAACAGCCACTGGGCCCCGTTGGCCCCAAGCGGCCTCGTCCGGAGCCGAGTCCAAACAGACGCTCCAGGCAGGAATTCAGGATGTCAACAGGGCAGAGTCAAGCTCAGATCCAGAATCATCGGGTCAGATGCAAAATGTTACAGCTATGCTCCCTCCACTCCTCCTGTTGTCCCCTCCCTCCCCCTCCCACCTTGTCATTCTCCTCCCACCACCTCCCCCTCATCTTCTGTAAGCGCCTCATCTTTAACTGGATCGCTGGTCACACCGTGACCAATCAGGAGCACTCCTCCCCAATGCGCTGGCACGAGCGGCCAACCTTGCGGTCCAGTTTCACCATCTTGAGGACGGCCTCCTCACGGCCACGGCCCAGATGGTCAAACAGGCAGTCATGCTGCTCGGGTAGACGGTGCAGCATGCAGAATACATAGCCTGGAAGGGAAAGCAGTGAGAGAGGAAATGACCCTGATAAATGTTCTGTTGTTCCCACTTTCCATGGGAAAACTGTCACATCGCTGGTGTTACCTCACCAAGCCTATTGACGAGCACACAGAAAAAACAATCTGCTTATTGACTTAAACTTCTGCACTTCTGCATCCAGGATGAAGAGAAAATAAACAGTAGGTAACTTTAAAAAGAGATTTTACTGAATAAAGTGTGGCTCAGTATGTTGTCCATGGACATGTAGACCCCAATGGCTCAGAAAAGGGGTTGAAATTACACTAGGTAAATGTAAAGAACATACACAGTACAAACCAATGCAGAAACTGTGAATTCAAGAGATCACATGAAGCACAGTATTTTAATTAAAACAAACATTGCACTGTGCTTGACAGTGGACCTGGCATTTTGTAAGGTAAGTAAGGTAACTAACTTTTTAAAAACAGTTCAAAAATAACAATAAAGCCAGGGGATGACATGCAGTATTTGCTGCAGAGCAGTGGCTTACATTTGGTAGCTTGACACATTTTCAAGCAACAGTGGTGATGAGGAAGTGTGTGGACCCTTTTGGGTCATGATGGCATGCGAGTTAAAACCACCCTGAAGTGCTGGTACTGACCACAGCGACAGGAGCCCAGTTCCTGCTGCACCAGCTCTAGTTTGGTTTGGCAGCGATAGCAGCGCCGGCGGTTCTTCTGCTTGGGCGTCCTGCAGGATTCCTCGCTGCTCCCCTCCTTCGCGTCTGTCCGTGGCCGTTTCTCTGGTGTCGCCTCGCTCTCTGAGCCTGAGGCTGAAAACAAACAACAGGGCTAACAGTTAGTGCTCAAAGTGGGGCAGCTCACGTCAGGCTGGCGTCAGGAAGAGCAGGCTGTACCTGATTCTCGTGGACGTTTTGTGGGTGTGCAGAGTGTACCTTGGGCTGTTTCTGTGGACGACACACCTGCAGATGAAAATGTGTTGTGTGAGACAGGATATGAGTCATTTTCTTCCCAAAACATACATGGAGAGGAAAAAAAAAAAAAGATTAAACGCTAACAAAATGTGTATTGCTTATTTTATGACAGTTTTTCTAAATTAAAAAAAATGCAATATGTCAAGACATAACCCTTGCATCATATCACCAGATTCTTGTCAGTACACAGCCCCATCTATAAGGCCACACTGCTGATGTAGTCTTGAGCTCAACAAGCGCTAGGAGACATGTAGCAGCATGAGCTTCAGCTCCTGTGTTTGTCCTGCGCCACTTCCCTCTGTACTCCACCACTAGATTTACAGACAAACAGGCGTTCCATTCTTTAACAGCTTGTCACGGACAACCAGTGCCCTGTTTAACAAGTTGGTGATAAATACTTTAATGTAAAATTTACAGATTAAATTTCTCATTTGCATAATTTTCCCCATTATTTCAGGATAATTTTAGCCATCATTACATTAGTCATTTTGTTTCCCT